TCTTCCCTGCTGTGCCCTTCAGCATATGCTGTAACGAATCTATGTGTGTAAACAAATAGGAAGATATGTGACTAAAGAGCACTTTGATGGAAAGGACTGAGGGTCACAGATGAAAGTTGCTCTCCAGACTCCCTTGATGTAACTTCACTATGCCTAAAGTACAGCTTCATGGCACAAGAAAGATAGGGCTAAGCAGGGAATACAGTTGTCTCTAACTGTTGTTTCCTTCTTTGCTGTATCTTGTCCTTCCCTGCAGTGATGATGACTTTGACATGTCCAGATATTCCTCCTCGGGATACTCATCAGCTGAGGTGAGTTATACTCTTTGCTGCTATCCTTGCCATGAATGCTAATAGTAGAGCAGCCAGAAACAGCTCCACAAGGAATTTACCAGTGGTGTAGACCCTGTGAGCCTGGAAGGGGCCATGGCAGAAACTGTGTCATGTTTCTTTCTTCCCTGCTGATCCAGTTGGCTCCGTCCCCACACTTCCATGGCACACAGATTTGCCTGTTGGCTGTTTTCACAGATACCTTTGGCTTCACTCAAGCTTTTCCCAGTCCTGCAGTGTTTGCCTATGTGGTACAAAAGCATCAATTTGTCTGTCACGGCAGCTCAGCAACTGTCTACTTGCCAAGGACACAAATAAAGGATCTGAGGGTGTGCTGTGATTTCCAATTCTTGGGGGTGGGGGTGGGGGGTGTTGGGGTCACACTGTGCGTGTTTCCTTGGAGCACCAGAAATTCCAGGAAGGACTTGCAGATATGAACTCTTACCCTTTCAAAGAGAAAAGGCAGGGAAGCTCAGGCTTGTTAATCCCTCTGCATTGTTTCTGAATATATTCCCAAGCTCTCTTGTGAATTAGTTGTTCAGACTCTGGCTACTGCTTCTGCAGGATCTGATTTTACATCCAGGGTGCTGAGCAGCCCATTCTGCACACAAGCCACTGGGAACTCTTCACCCTTGTATCCCTTCCTTGGGCAAAATATCTCTGAAATGCAAAAAAAAACCCAGCCAAGAGCAGGGACCAGATCCAATGATCTGGGCCATCTCTGGGCCCTGATGAAGTGTGCACCCAGATCTGGCTAGACAGCACTTGAATTTGAGATTACGAAAAGCCAATAGGCTTTACCACCTTTCAACTGCTATAGCGCCCCAGACTGAGAGGAGGGACTGCCCAGCTGCCAGTCAGTTTACCATCATTATTATTATATGACTTTAAATGAGGACTCATCTTCATGGAAAGATTATTCCAGAATAAAATAGTGTATTGACTTGCTACTCTGGAATATCTCACTCTAGATATTCCTATTCTGGAAGAAGTTAGAACAACAGAAGGAAACCCTTACCTGTGATCAAAACTGGGACTCTCTCATTGATGAGACAGCTGCTAATGATAAGGAAATATATACCAAAATAAGGGACCTCCTTCCTTTTCTGACCATCAGAAGGAAGAAGTCTCAAGTGTTTAACTGTTTGTCTCTTTGTCTGTAGCAGATCAACCAAGACTTGAACATCCAGCTGCTAAAGGATGGGTACCGGTTAGATGAGATCCCAGATGATGAGGACCTCGACCTAATCCCCCCTAAATCGGTCAACTCTACCTGCATGTGTTGCCAAGCCACCTCCTCCACCACCTGTCACATCCAGTAGTGAGGCCGGCAGGCTGTGTTCAGTGCTTTCCACTATAACTGTAAAACATAACAGCCATTGCTTCCTCCTATGGTAGGACGTACACTTCTTTGTGTTCATGGAGCCAGGAGAAACCAAAAAATGCATTTTATGATTGGTTGATAAGTTATTTTAAACTATGGTTAAGCAAAAGAGAAGTTGCTCAAAGTGCCAGGCAGTGCCTGGCAGAACTGACTGGTCTGGAGAGCAAATGCAGGAGGGTCCAGATACCTACTTGATTTGTGTAGGCACTGGAGATGTTTTGTAAGGTGTCTGTTCCAGAATGGGAAGGGTCAGATGGGGCTGCAGTTACTCCTGCACACTGAAACCAATCCATCTACAAGATCAGGGATAAGTCTGAGGTGTCAGGGGGTTTTACCTGTGGGAGGAGGTCAGTTCTTCATTCATTTACTAAACCTGATTCATTTGCATAACCAAAATTATACCATAACCAGGGCACAGGAATGGGAACTGAGCAGGGCATCCTTTCTTATGGCAAGGCTAGCCATGACTAGCATGACACAATTCATTCACTTGCAAAGAGGACAAATAGGTGGCATTTAACTTATTATTTAACTTATTATTTAACTTATCCTTAGCTCCATGTTAAATTATCAGCAAACACATCAGATTTGATCTGCGATCCATCCATGCTCTTCAGGGATTCAGTCTTTGCCTGTGAATACCATACTCCTGAGTTCAGTCCAGTCACGTATACTGACTTCAGCCTATACTTCATTCCTGTGAAACCCATCTGTGTCCAAAAATCTTAAAATTTGTTCAACTAAGAAAAAATGAGTCCTGCACAAGACAGGACTAGAGCTGTGCAGTCTGAAGGTCAGTGCCAGAAAAGCTAGTTGAAGAAAGCACATTTTTACAGATCTTGGCTGTTGCTATTCTCTTGACACTGCATCTCTTTGTGCCTGTGGGAGAGATTTGTTAATGCTAAAGGCATCTCTGTGGTGGCATCAGACTTTAGGGGGGGAGTTCAGCAACAGCAGGATTATGAACAGTTTCAGCTGAAAAAAAAACATGAGAGGAAACTACTGTTTATCCCTTCTCTGCCCATTTGTGAACCAGGCTTGGTCTGTGTTAGAGATGTCCCACGTCAGGAGCAATTATGTTTATTTGGTGCTGGAATAGTTGGGAAACCTGCCGTTACATTAGGTGGCTGGACTGAATTGCCAATTCACCAGCAGATTGTTTTGAATGCAAAATTATTTCTGGAATTAGGAAACATGTCCTTTCCCTGGCTGGTCTTACACTGCTGTCTTCAGCATACACAGGACTCAGGTGATGGATGGGCTGGCATTTTTCTTGGAGATATTAAATCTTTTGCCACAGGCACAACTGTGCATTTTCCTGCTCTGCCAGGAGGAAGGACCACCTGCCTTGTGTCAGCACTTGCTTTAGAAACTGGGGAAAGGAGAAAGCAAGGGCAATTCTGAGCTTCCCATCAGAATTCCCCTGAGTTGCAAGACAGAGCCTGAGCTCCACCCCGAAGGACAGATCCCCCATCTGAAATCTTCATGTAGTGAGCTGAGTCTTTAAAAAGTCCTCTTTGTGATTAGGAGGATTTAACATTGTGGGTTTTCACTCTGTTCAGTGCAAGGCACGGTGTCATCCACAGCATGAGCAAAAGAGCAGGCACACAGGACTCCTGGGCTTTATTATTCACTAGCTGGCTGTGGGCAACCGTTAAAGCTGTGTTTGCCTCCCCTCCCTAAAACAGGGCACTGTCACCCTGGCTCCAGGCCACAGAAAGAGGACTGAGAAGTGCTGTTTACTGAGCATCCCTGCCTCTTTGTGCAGAAGTGCTGGTTAACTTGCCAACTCCTCTAGGAAGAGTGTTTCTCAATTGAATTCCTCTCCCCTTCTCATCGCCTGGTAATGCTGAGAGGGAATATTTCCAAAATGTTTCTAAAGAAGCATAAAGCATCAGGTCCCCAATTCTTTGCTTTTTCCTTTGTGTGCCTGCTTTCCTCTCCAGTGCTAGCTCAGGTGTGAGGTTAGCAATTTGCCTGGAGGAGGGGGGAAAAGCTCTAACAGCACTGTGTAGGGAGAAAAGATAAAAGGGAAAAAGCATTTCTTAAGGAGTCTTTTTTTTAAAATGGAGAATGTAGTCAAAACCTAACAGAAACCCCATGGTCAAACCAAATCCGAATCTCTTTAAATGTTCGCTCTTCTAAAGCAGGAATTTGCAGTTCAGCATTGGTACCATGCAACATCTTCATCGCGTTTATCCTCCTGGGTCAGTCTCTGTGCTTTCCAGCTGGGCTGCACACACTCAGCCTTTCCCACAGCCCTTGCTCAGGAGCTCGGAGCTTTTCAGTGTGCCTGCTAGAGCAACAAGGCATCTGTTTACATGGGTCAGCCTTGGAAGACTGTAGGTCCCACAGGTCTCTGTCATGCTACTATCATGTTCAGTCAAAGACAGAATGAAGCTTGCTGAGACTGTATCTTCGAGGGCTAATGCCTCCCTTCTGAAGGACAGACCTTCCCTGATAACCACTGCCCCATGGCACCATGACCAAGTCCTTTTATTGCCCCTATTGCTGGTTTTTGCCTGCCATGTGCCCTGAGGCATTCCCCAACCCTGCAACCCTGAAACTGCCCTCAACCCTTTGCATTGTGTGATGTGCACCTGCTTCCAGCACAACCCTTTAGGGTCCCTGGGAGGGAGATGAATTTAAATGTTAATTACACCCAGTGTTTCCTCCAAATACAGACAGAAGCACAAGCCAAGTGTTTTTCACTACACACAAGAGTTGGTTGCACAAATAGCCATTTGGGCATGACAGTACAGGACCATAAAATGGCAATTTTTTGGCTTCTCATCTCTATGCTTTGTGTTCATATATTTTATTAGGGGAATAAAGTAGAAAGGGTGGGGAAAAGTAGTTACCTGTGTAGGGTCATTATCAGGAAGGCTGAATGGATTAAGGCAATGCACATGTGGCTATCATAGAAAATTGAACACTAACCCTTCTGAACCACAGTCCCTTAAGAAGATTATGACCATGAGGCATGTTTGTTGGCTTGTTATGGAATATGACGGACAGCCTGGCGGTATGTATTAACCACAGATTGGGCTGGCTCTCCCTATCTGGTCTTGTGTTCAGACCTTTGCTTCAGCCAGAAAGTTTTCCTTGTGCCCTCATTGGAGATTATGCTGTGGTGACTTCCCAGGAAGGTGTATAGATACATGGCCATTCTGGCACTGCCCTCCTTAAACCAGTCTCTGCTGCCATGGCCCAGAGAAAGCAAAAGGAAAGAGCACAGACCCTGACTCTCTGTCACAGCATTATAAAGCCCTAAAATCTGCAGAGCTGCTGGGCACTCTCCTAACTGCATATTGCTTGCAATAAAGCAAATTATTCCTTGTTCCAGTCATGCACCAAACCAAATGATCTTCTCAGGCCCCATTTTCAGTCTGAAGTCATACAGAATACCAAGGGGAGGAGCACCACAGAGTATAAAAGGCTGCACCGCTGTCCATCTAAATTACCAAGCTTCCTTATATTGATGCTGGTGCCTCCACAAAGGAATTTGCATTTGATGCCTCCTAAAGCCAGACTGGCTTTTGGTTAGGATTTTATGTAGTTTTAGTCACCAAATTACCTGAGTTTAAGCAAATCCTTTCCTTTTATCAGATGTTAATTTTGCCCTTTAATGTGAGCTGACTTTGGACTCCAGGGTCTCAGCAGTCAGTCCCCAAACTCCCTATTTCCAGATGTCTGTGTGAGGGGGAATATCCTCCTAGTGTTGAGGAAGGTCTCTAGATAGGATGGTCTAGTCTGCTTTTCTGGTGGTTGTATGGTTGTACGGTTGTACCTTTGGCTGAAATAAGGCTGATGTCCAGACGACCACCCCAAAGGCTCATTTGATGTCTTATCAGACATATCTTGAAGCCAACCCTTGGAAGAGCCACTGGATCATATTTGACATTCCTGCATGTCTATCCCCAACATGTATGCTTGTCCATTGGGTCTGCTATTCTGTTCTGGCTGTCTTGCCTGCAGATGCCTTGCAACTGCAAAAGCAGGCAGCCAAGCCAGCTGCACGGACTTTGAAAAGGACTTCAGGACGCTGTGCTCCCCCACGGACAGGATGAACTTAGCTGTTTCTGGTTTGGCTCTCTGGCTTCTTTCTCAAAAGGAGGCACCCACTCTGCTCAGCTATGTGCTGGATGACACATTGTTCTGTGATCCTGAACAGAATCCTTTCCTCTCCATGCAGAGTCTGTCCTCAGGCTGGCCTGCAAGCTGTACAATGGCATGCAGGAAGCTTGAAAAGTACAGCGCCATGTATGTGACTGAACAGAATCATGAAGATGCTTTTGAAGAAAGAAAGGACCCAGCTGGGGACCAGATGGAATGACAAGAAAACAAGTAGTAACTAGAAAGGTTGCCAAGTGCTGTCTTGGCCTAGGGCAGATCCCAGTTGTTTGAGTTAACCTATCTCAGTACTGTGTTGATACCAGCAGGGAGCAAAGCTCATTTTCAGATGCACACACCAAAAGCACCGTATCCCTGAGTTGGCACCGCAGCCAAATACCACTGCGGAGAGTCTGCTGGACTGTTAGAGGAAAGAAATAAGATCTGGGGTCCCTTGAGCTGTTGGTGCATACTACATGTTTGTTCTAACCTCAGTCAAGTCACATCCCCTCTTGATGTCCATTCCCTTCTGCAGCACAGGGGAGAAAGCTGCCTTCTCAAGATGCTACCACCACGCTGCATGGATGCTGCCAAATGTGTTGCGGGCACCATTGATAGGATAGCTCTGTGAGCAAACTGAGAAAAGCATGCTCCATAAGTTTTAGGTGTATTTTCAAAGTACTACAAAGAACGGCAGCACAACTCTACTTTCCCTCTGTTTACCACCTTATGATCGCTGAATCACAGAATGGTCAGGGTTGGAAGGGACCTCTGGAGATCATCTACTCCAACCCCCCCGCCAGAGCAGGGTCACCTACAACAGGT